GTATTTTTGCTCTTGTAGTCATCGAACATCATAATAGCCTAATTACTTGTTTTCCGTTAATGGGATAAAACATCTTGTATTATTGATGTACATGTGAGTTATAGTAATAACCTTTTGTTGTCTAAACTTTAAAGCTTTTAGGCTGCGTGATTTTACCCCTATGTATTTGCCTAAGAAGAACATTCCCACCAAAACCATTTTTTTTTTTTTGTATAAAAATAAGACATTGGGTCATTATTCTACGGGGTAATTTTTCTACAACACACACGGAGAAAAATGACCTCAGACCATAATTTCTACAAAAAAAGTGGGTCATTTTTCCACGTAGAATATTGACCAGGGGGTCAGATTTCTACGTAGAAATATGACCCCCGGTCAAAATTCTACAGGAGTCACTTTTCGTCGCTACAACGGCAATTTTGTCACATTGTCTACCCAATTATTGTTGGCTATGAATGGATCCTGACACGAATAACTTAATCTTAGCTGTAAAAGTTTATCTGTATAGGCTACTAAACAAGCCTCCGGCAGTGATTTGTAATACAAACTCATATCGACGAACAATCATCTGATTCATTCAAACCAAGCGTCTTTCCTCTTACTATAGCGAAGGTCTATCTTGCCCTACACAGACTGCGCATGTGCTGGGTCAAAGGTCAAATTTAAAAAACAAATGGCGCTTAATAATAGCAATACTCAGCGCTCAGGGCCATTGAACAGTGAGGGATCTTTTTGTACCAGCATCTATTGCGATACGGGACCTCGGTTTATACGGTCTCATCCGGTCTCCACGTCCCGCAATGGGATTCGAGCCCGTGACGTAAGGATCAACTCCTTACTCTACGACTCTAGAGCAAACGCTCTAATCAATGCGTCACGCGGTCGACCCAAGAAAAATGAGAGACCTGGCCAAGAGTGCAGGGAATGTAATATTCGAAGAGGATATTATACGAGAGGGCAATTAACATTCTTATCTTGAAGTATCATTAGCAAAACAGGAGAACTGCCGTAAACATTTAATTTTAAAAAAAAATTAATCTAAAAAAGTAAGCGAAAGTATTTAGGCTACTATAATGCTACGATCAGCATTAAAGTCTACAGCAACGCCAAGGAGCGCTCGAATAAGAATAGTCAACACCAACATAAAATCAGTCTGTCTTGACATCTTTATCCTAAACAGGGTTCCCTTGATGGCATTTCTCCTCTCAAAAGTTTCTCTTCATGAGCATATCAACGATCTGTCTTGGAAGCAGAGCATACATGAGGCAGCTGGAATGAATTTACCTTCTTTAAAGTTATGTACGGAAAAAAATAATGCAGTTTGGGTCCCACACGGGACATTTTTGGTGCCAATGGCAGCCTCATGCTCATAAATACTTAAATATGTGTTGAAATATATGTTGTTTGCAAATGTTTCAGGCAAGAATTATCTTGCACTGTTCTATGCAGCTGTAACTTCTCTGAAGATTAGGTCTTATGATTACTTTAAAACAGCAACAACCTGTAATTTAGCACATGCTCACTGAATATATGCGTGAATTAGCACTATAATCGTATATTGGACAAAATTTTGAATCAATATTTCAAAGATTTTCTTTAATGTTTGAGAATTAAAAAGGAAAATGCTAGATATGCAATATAAAAAATAGCGCAATTTTAAAAATCGTGGAGGCCATTTTAAAACTGGCCGAAACTTCAATGGTCGACAATATTTCCTATTCAGTTACTAGACAGGGATCCTCCATTCCCAATTTTGTGCCTCTCTCACCAAGTAAACTATTTTTTTAATTATCGACTTTACTATTACAGACAGCTGAGGAAACATTTTATCAGCGTGGTTCTTTATCTTTGATTTCTAAATTTTTAATTTTAAATTCTAAGTTGTAAAACTAACTGAATTGCCAACAGATTTTTCCGGTTTTTCCCGACCATGGAGCACACGGCGGGTGTGACCGGGATGCTTACTCTTCCATGGCAATTGATCCCACCTCAGATGTTTTTGGAGGTCCATGTTTGCTCTGCTTCCGATTTGTATTTATTTAAATGGAACTTAAGCTTGAATACTGTTCGTTATCTCTATATTTTATGATGTCGATGGCTTCTTTATTCCCGCTTCAAATCTTACGTTTTATTTCCAATCGAAAAATATATGATCAACAGTTTTATTTATATAACCCCTGTGATAGATAAGTCATTATTTAAACCATCAAAAATTGACAAGACTTAGATTATTTTATGTTTTGAATGTCTCAGTTCATTTCTAAGATATATATATTTATATTCAGAAATTGTTATCTCTAACAGCCACGTCATTTAGCATATTATGACGTCATATTGTATAGGAAAGTACAATATCTAGGTGTAGCCTTAACATACAGGCGTATCGAGTCAACTCATAGATGAAAGTAGCTAGTGTTAATTGATGGAACGTCTTCGATATATCTAAATGTGGAATTTGAAGTGCAGAGTGAAAGTTTTCTTTCCTTTCATGTACACATTGTTTTTTAGTAAATTCTGCATCAAAAGGATATTAAATCCTCTCAGAATTCCAACAGAATGCTTGAATATTTTGTCAATTAGAACTTTATCAGAGGACTTCGAATGGGTTGTAATAGCAACTTTTGATTATAAAACAAAGAATTATGGACACTTTTCTACAGAATTGAAATATCGATAGTTAATCTTCACCTTTTCCTTAAACTTATTCCTTACATATTATTATCACATAATTATAGCTGTAGAAAGTGGACACAAAAATATCATACGCAAGAACATAAGAACTGTATAGATCTGAAATATTTTTGTTTGTTTGTTTGTTTATCCGAAATATTAAATATAATTTCTTTTTGTTTAAAAACACCCACGATATACGAACTTACGTGAAAAATGTTTAAAAAAAAATACTGAGAAAAACCTTGTACAGTTTATGTTTAAATTTCTAAAATTGATATGTGCAAACAATTCTAAACATCTTTGTAATTTTGGAAAGTTTAATGAATATTATACAATCTTACAAATAATATTTTAAAAATGTTTTGTAAACTCTCCACCATGAATTACTGATTGTATAATTATTAACTAACTGTTCCAAACTCTTTTGTGCTTTGCCTTTAATGTTGTTAATATTTTTCACTACAATAATATGTAAGTCTTACGTAACAAGGTAAATTGAATTTAACGAAAGTGTTTCGATATTAATATAAAAATGTTTGCTTGATACTAAGAAGCATGAAAAAAGATTTTCCAAGGAATATTGTATTTTACTATATAATGAATGGCGTCCCCCTCCCACAAACTGAACCCCCGACCCTGGGGCTACACAGTTTTAAGAGATGAACCCTTGCTCATCATAACCATGCACTTAGTTCATCTGCGAAATAACAAGGAGCAGATAAGATTTTTAAAGAAATATTGTACTTTTAGTTTATATAATCAATACAGCCCCATCCTTACAACAGAGCCCTAAAGTTCACAATTTGGAAGAGGCACTCTTGCTCATCATAACTATACACTTAGTTTTTCATGCTTAATACCTAGTAGCAGAGAAGATTTTCTAGGTATATTGCACTTTCACCACTTGATTTGTAGAGTCCCAGGCTAACTCCAGAACCCCTGACCCAGGAGCCATGAATTCATAATTTTGGTAGAAGGATCAAAGCTTATTATAATCATGTCAACAGTTTGATTGCTTGATCTCCGGGAATAAAGAAAAATGAATTTTAAAGATTGCATTAATTATGACGGTTTAAGTCCCATCCCTAGGGCCTCAGGGGAGCAGGGACTATGAAACTAGCAATTTTTGTTCCTCTCTACCCATAAATGTTATATGCCCATATTGGTTTAAACTGGTTCGTCTGTTCCAGAAAAGAAGCTGAAAAGGTTCAAATGTAAACGCAAGACGAATGACAATGTACAACGCACGACGACGGACAAAAACAGATATCAATATGTCATCTTAGTGACGAGACACTTTTCTATTTGCATATACATGTATGATGTGTCCGTAAGTTAACCCTCGAAAGCCTGGCCTCAGAATGAATACAGTTCCAGGAAATTAATTTCCAGGATTTTAGGCAAAAAAATAAGTTGATGTTATTCTCCTAGAAAAATTCAAGATAGCATCGTTTCGCACCTTGTAAATTATTAGGAATGGGGTTAAATATGTGTTTTTATGAGAAACATATTCAACATCAAGTGCATGTGACGTATATGAATCAATACATTTAATCACTCGAGATATAATTCTTACGTATAAATTTATTCATACGTTTAGAATTAGGATTTTTGATCAAAGGTGTCTAAGCAATGACTGAATATAAAATGCATAAAAAATCATTAAGACGAAATGTGAATAATATTATCGATTAAAGTTAATAACTACGCAAGTTACATATACATGTTTTCAATGTTTGTGTTGTATATGTGCAATACATTATACATGGCATACTTTAAAATTAATTACAATGATTTGTATAAATTACAAATGCGTGCTAAAAGTATAGTCAAATGAAATTTCACATGACTGGTTATAGTGAGTGGCACTTCAAACTATAGGCTAACAGAAGAAACAAAATAATTTAGACAATGTTACAGATTTTGATAATACTTTGTTTATTATCCTCAACGTTCTATTAGATTTATTTATTAAAATTATAAAATATTTTACATAACGCATTATTCTTTCAAAATGTTTGTTAGCTTTATGATCCTACATTACTCTTCTTTTTCAGATATACAAAGACAGCTAGGATAACAGCAAGTATCTGAAATATATATATATGCTTCATATCAAAATCTGCTCTCTAACAACATTTAACCTATTTATTGTGTCTGTGTTTGTATTTACTCTCATAAAGTTAAGCTTCTTTCATATTTTACCATTTCCATAAAAACGAATACAGTGTACATATTTAATGTGCTTTTACGTAAGACTGACACTTAAAAATATAGATACATGTTTATATCATGTCATATTAGAAAGTGATTTAATAAATTCTTAGTCATACCTCAGTCAGAAAAAGTAACACACCAATAGCAATTACAGCTGGGAGATAACGATCTATTTCATTCTTTAAAACTTCATGACATCCCTGTAAAATAATGTTATTTCTTTAAATGTTCAACGAATAAGATACAAAATGCAATAATCTCTCTCTTTCCTCTCTCTCTCTCTCTCTCTCTCTCTCTCTCTCTTTGCTGCAGAAAATATTTTTTGTAATATTAAATTACTTTGGAGTTATATGTTCCACTTTTTACGGTTGCATGGCAGGCTGACGGAGCTGAAGTGTAAGTGCTTTCTGTGACACCATTACAGCAGGTCTTGGGAATTTGTGAATTCGTTTGTTGACATTCTCCACTTGTGGTACACCAAGGAGTCAGGTCAAAGTCATTAGATGTGCTGAACACTGGATATACCGCACAACAGTCCAGCTAAACAGCGTATTGAAAATGAATATTTTCAAAATATTTAGTTTTCGATAGAACAGAAGGGTATAAGAGTTGATATTTGTTAAAAAACGTTTGATAAAAAGTAAAGTGATGTTGATTTATTTAATATACACTATTAACATCTGACAAAACTGCTCAGGACAGTGTTTTATTATTGATTAAATGCAAATCAGATTAAAGCTATTACATTTATCTTAATGATTTGAACTTTTTTTTCAAAACATCAAGAATTATAGGTATGAAAAAATCTTATGATGAAGATAGAAATCGAACACCTCTGTAATTCTTATTTATCATAAAAAAAATTGATATTTCTGAGATTATTCACAATATATAATAATTGTGTTATAATTGTAAAATATTTGGTGATCTTGTTTATCAAAGAAACTTTATTAAGAATCGGTAAAATTTTTGTTTTAATTATAAAATATTGTGAAAAAGTATAAAGTTTATCAAAATGTCATACGTTATGAAAAAATTGGCACACTGTAGCGTTAATTTTAAAACAACGCACCCATCTGAATATCCTTTCAGAGATGATCATTTAAATAAATTTTGTTGAATTTTAATCATACATATTGCCAATTTATGCATATTTTGTCTGAAGTGAGCCTTGATGTTCAAAGAATTCAATCTAAACAAAGTTTTTTTTCTATTTTATATATTCGAATAACCACCGAAAATTATTTCTTTGCAAATATATATTACCATCAATACAAACTGCAATCAGTTAGCTGTAATAATTTGAGTAATTATAGTTTTTTGAAACAATACAACGCTATTTTAAAAGGAAAATAAGTCACACAATCAACATATGATGGGAAGTGGGAAAAATTAAATTGCTACATACGAACAAGAGACTTAAAACTACAAAAGTAGAACAGTTTGATTTATTTATAAATACATCACTTCAACATCAGGTTATAGAAAACTTGAGTTCTGCTTTAATCATAATGTTTTTATAAATGTTGAATAAAAATCTGTCTCTGAAACATATATTTGGTTCTATTTAGAGAATACATACGTCCATAAACACCCTATTCCATGAATTCGATTTTGTTTCTGAACTGCTGATTGCATCTTCTGTAAAGTCTATGTATAAGTTACTGACCATCTGAACTTTTGCTCCGTCCTCTTTTATCTTTCGTAAAAACAAAAATAAAAAACAAAAACAGTTATGTATAAATTTTCGAATATATTTAAAGAAAATGTTTTTTGAGAAGTTAACATAGGTAAAATAAGACCTCTCACAAAGGCACATTCTATAAAGAATAATAACATATATATTGCAGATTCCTAAATATATGAAAGGAAGAACAAGGTACGGTTTCAATACAAATGTTGCCCGGTGTTTTCTTAAATATGAAAGTGATGTAAAAAAAAAAATAATAAAACTCATGCTTTCTGAATCATTGAAATTCCTTGCAGAAAGATCATTCAAATCATTTTTCTCACACGACCTTTTAAATGCTAATTTGACGTCATAAACTTTTGTATTTTCCCGTATTTTCTTAAAAAGTTGCAGAAAACACCAATTTTCACTGGAATTTTCTTTCAGATAATATTGTCCACAGGCATCGCCCACAAAGATTTTGAGATATGTGATTTTTCAAAGAATTTCACACAATATATCCGAAAATTAAAGTGGATGACGGCTGTGGACACTATTTTCTTAAGGAAAATAACCCTTGATATGGGTTATTTTGAGGCTTTTTCCGTTTAGAATAGAGAAATGCATGAAATTAATGACGTTATATTTCTAGAATATTATTCCTTCATACCATATCCTTTCTTGATTTATCAAAGTCAATACTCAACTAATACATCAGCAAGTTTCAAATCTTTTTTGAAGACATTAAATTTATAGGGCACAATATTGATAAAACCGTACCTTCTTCTTCATAAACACAATTTTTGTCAAATAAAAAATAAAAACAACTGCTAAAGTACCTCTAAATACCATACAGCAACAGTCCTTACGCGAATTTTAGATCTTTAAAATTATGGACAAGGACACTAAGGAGGCATATCCAACCAGGTTTTTATGTGTTTTGCTTCATAAATGAAATAAATAATCCATAATGTTGCATTTTTTTTTGTTGTAAAAATAGAACGTGAAAAAAAAAATTAAAAAGAATTTTCGTAACGTTTATTCTAATTTTATTCATTCATTTAATTTCATTTTGAACACTATAAAATTGTCTGCTAGCAGAAAAGTGTATAAAACGGTTGAAAACCCCCTGTTGTTGAGTGGTATACAAATAGGGGTTGGGGGGCCTTTTCTTGAGCACTTGTGAATAATGGCAGCTATTCTGTACCTTTGTTCCTATGTGAATCCACAGCCCAAAGACCACTATCATTGACACAAATAATACAGCAACAAAAACAGAATACTGTAAGAAAAAAATAAAATCGTAAATAATTTCATCATGATAGAATTTATCTGTTGTAAACGTCTTTAATTTCACAATACTCTGTGCCGATGCATTTTGTGATTTTATGAATTTCATTGAAGTTCTGAATATTAAATATTACTTAAAGTCCCTTTTTTTATGTAGTGTATGCCCTTATCACCTGCATATCAGTTGATTCGATACGCAAGAAAATGCTCAAAGTATGAACAATTTCTAAACCGAGGCAAGCTATAGACAAAAAAATTATGTAACAATGATATCAACAGTTTCGTTTGAAGTCATCAATTCGCAACCCTTGTGTAGAAGTTCCAAGTTGCATTTGGAATTTCCAAGTAAATCACTTGATATTTTTAATTTGGAATTTTCAAATCACCATTCGGAGTATTGAAACAAATGGTTCAAAATGGCTTTCAAGTTACTTCCAATTGTTCCCGAATGACTAAATCTCAGGTTTTTCTAGAAATTTCCAAATGACTCCCAAGTTGCTTCCAAATGACTTCCCAATCACTAAAACAAATGCTATTCATCCAATCAAAGCAAGATTTCATTGGCTTATATTTAAACATGTTGTTCAAATAAGAAACAACCAGCGATTCGATAATATATATATACTACAAAACACTGTACTTTTGGCATCATTTAATCTTTTGTTTAATATTCATTGCATTTGAAACAGATATACCTTCCTGGTATTTAAAACTGTTTTTGATATTAAAATATGTATGATAATTTTTAAAATTCAAATCCGAGTCACAATTAAAAAATATGGTATTTCCTGGGTTCATGTTTTTACGAAAGTAATTTAAGTCAAACAAGTTGTATTATCATCAGGTACATCTATCAAAAAGACGAGTAATTCCAAAAAAATATTGACACTTTTCACAGTTTCAGCAATGATCAATCTGATACGGTCTCTTTTTTCCAAGAGAAGTGCGACATAAAATGAAGAAGATACCACTGAAGGAATCATAAACTTAAAAGATATTAATCATCCCATTGAATTACATATACTTCATAGAAGATCAATCCTCCTTTAATGTGATCATGATGTAACACTGTTTAGGTTTGAACCGCCTGATTCAAAATCCCCTAGTTCGAACTCGAGACAAGACCTCGAGCCCGATCAGCTGATAACATAACATCTGCTCCTTAAATATTTATACTTTTCATCTCTGCACTTCCATATGATTCCAGATTACAAATTAAGTTCAGATTTTTCCAAATAAAATTCTTCCGAATGACTTGGAAGTACTTGGAATTCCAAATGCCTCTAAATACTTCAAAGTACTTCCAAGTGACTTCCAAATGAGAATCAATGGGGACTTGGAACTTCTACACACGGGAAGATTAATGGTCGATACAATGTCATCAAATACAACTTATCATTAAGTCAAATGCTGATTAGCGTTTTTCATACTTGTTGTTAGGCCATTATTTTCACATAGAAAAGTCAACGAATTTTTTCTCTCCATTTTTTCCGATCATGACACGGAGCATACGGCGGGTGTAATCGGTTGGCAGGGGATGCTCACTCCTCCATGGCAATGGCACCTGATCCCACCTCTGATGTTTTTATGAGGTCTGTGTTTGCTCTGTTCCAAATTTATATTGTTTCAATGGACTTTTGACATTGATAACTGTTCGTAATCTTCATATTTAATTTCATAAATTATTTATTTACATCAAATTGTTATGGGAATTTGTTCAGCAATTTAAAGAATTACAGGACACTTTCTTTTACATTTTTCAATGATTAACTACTTTACTCTTTGGGAATATGAATATGCATGGTTCGTTTCTGATATATCCGACAAATGAATGCTTATATTGATATGTCCAAACATTTACGATGGATTTTTCTTTGAGGGAAATACCTATATCTCTAACAAAGTGGCATTAAAGTGAGTGAAAAGCATTACATTTTTTAAGGTACAAATTTTCTCAATTTTCATACGTTCTTATTTAATTTAATAAAAATGATTAATATACTATAAGACCTTTTAAATTCTTTTTTTTTTTTTTACTTTTTTGATTTTCTTTTCTTTCTTTATATTTTATTTATTTAACTCTCCTTATATTTCATGCAGTAGCCTAATCTAAACCAGCATCATCTTTTCAAAGATGATTGGTGGTGTCCTGTAGATATCCAGGTAAGCTTTGGAATTTTCATTTTCAACATTTGGGTCAAATGGGGGTAGAAAAATTGCGTATTTTTTTTAATACAAAAATACCCTGGTTCCCAGAAGTCCTATTAAATTTTATGCAGTAGCCTAATCATCTTTTGAAAGACAATTGGTGGTGACCTGTAGAGATATAATAAGGTTTTGGAATTTTCATTTTCACCCTGGGGGTCAAATTAGGGTCAAAAATGACTTTTTTAAATACAAAAAGACCTTGGTTCCCAGAACTTCTCTTATAATTAGTGTAGAAGCATAATAATCTATTTGAAGATAATTGATGGTTTCCTGTAGATGTGCAATAAGATTTTGGAATTTTCATTTTCATCTTAGGGGGCAAATAGATTAACATTAAATTATGTATATTATTAATGGCTGATTCTGCAAAAAGTCGTTCTAATCGAACCAAACCTCTAGGAGGAGTAGCAAATTGAATGAATTTCACAAAAATGTTGGGGTTTTTTAACTTACCAAGGCAACAGTGTCTCAAAGGAAATCAAAAACCGATAAACAGAATTATGATTCTAATTATAGTATACTTGCATGTGCTCCAATTAATAATGAAATCCAATGTCAAAGCTTAAGAAGGAGTAGAGTTTTGAGAGACCATATTTGATTCTACACTATAATGTAAAGTTTTCACATAAGTTTTTTTTTGTCTATTTTTGAAGATTTTTCTCCTATACATTCTCATGCAAAACTCTGATCCCTTATTGTAAACCCATTCTACCCATGGAGGTCTTGGTTTTGACGAACATTAATTAACACAATATGATGAAGTTTCACATAAGTTAAAACTTTATGTAGAGGCTCATGTATGATAATTATACAATGAGGGGAATGTTTACTTTTCTCAACAAATCAGTTGAGGGTTCATTGACTTGTTTTCAAATTACAAAATATATTAAATGTAAAATATAATTCAATTCAATTCATATTTGCATAATCTCAAGACCGTCGTGTATTTTACCAGATCATGACGAGGGGCATGCGGCGGGTCTGATCATTCGGCAGGGATGCTCACTCCTCCATTGCACCTGAACCCACCTCTGATGTCTTAGAGGTCCGCATTCACTCTGCTCCTATATTGTTATGTTTTATGGACTTTTGGGCTCGAATACTGTTCGTTATCTCCACATATTTCATTATGAAGGATTTAAGTGAAGAACTTATATGTTTTTGAATAATAAGAGTTCCATGTGACATTTGTAACAAATCATGAAAAGGACTTCTCAGTGTGTTGCTTTGAAATTGGATGCATATCAAAGACACAATATTGAGTTAACTTATTTTGTTTTACATATCTGGGAGGAATATCATTCTTGCTGCAGTATGAATTACACAGTAAACAATCCTAAAAAGTTTATAAATTAAAAAAAAAAACAATGTCCTTATATTATTCCATCTAATTAAGTATATTTCAGAAAGAGAGAAAGAAAAGGAGAGAGAAAATACCCTAGGTTTATAAAATTATGCAAATCTAACAAATAATTTTTTTTAGAGCCATTGCACTTAGAACTGGATGGTTTTATATTCACTTGAACAAAATTTATTTAATATAATGTTTGATTATCAGAGAAATTAGATTTTGTTCTTTATTAGAGATTATTTTATATTTTCCAAAGAATATAAAATGCAGATAATTTAAACTTGGACAAAAACCACTCTTGAATATCACTTCAAGCCCTTTTACTAATGAAATATGGAGATAACGAACAGTATTCAAGCAGTATTCAAGCTTAAAACCCAATTAAACAATAAAGACCGGATGCAAAGCAAAAATAAGAGGTGCAATCAGGTGCTATAGAGAGGTAAGCGTCCCATTTCGACTGGTCACACCCGCCTTGTGCTCCTTGTCAAGATTGGGAAAACGAAAAAATCAATAGACAATTCAATGTGTAAATAATGGCCTAACAACAAGTATGAAAAACGTCAGTCAGCATTTGACTTTATGTTGGGTGTATTTGCTGACAAGGTCATTGTATCGACCATAAAACTTGCGACATGATGACTTCAAACCGGACTGTTGATATCCTTGTTTCATCAACTTGTTTGTCAATAGCTTGCATCTTTTTAGAAATTGTTCATACGTAGAGCATCTCTTGCGTATCGAATCAACTGGGAGACAAAAACCCATATGCAAGTGATAAGGGTATATTGCTACATACGTAAGGGAAGTTAACGATTGAAAAATTGAAGTCATCATGTTCATCATAAGGTTTTATTGTTAGGTTACCATTAAAAACTTTTTCTAGTAAAATATCCAAGTATGAAACAAATGTGTCACACTCTATGGTATCTTTTTTTCAAGCTCAGTCGGATATATCGAGTTGACATATTAATTGAAGTAACTATTGTTAATTGATAACACGTCGTCGATATATCTAAATGTAACTATTGTTAATTGATATTACATCGTCGATATACATGTATCTAAATTTCGAGTTGAAGGGTTTTTTTTTTCCTTATGTATAAGATTTTGAATAAATTCTGCTTAATATGAATACAAAATAGGTCTGCTAACAAGGGGGTGCAATTGGTATCCATGATATTTCCAACAGAATGTTGAAGGACCTGATCTCCAAAAATATATGGATATTATCAATCAGAAACTCAAGCATCTTTCAACTTTAGAGTACTTATGTGGCCAATCAGAATGCTTTTTATCAAAATAATTTTGCAAATGACCAATGACAAAGTAAGTATATTAAAGAGTTCCATTTTTATAGAAAAAGCAACTGCCTATGATGTCAAAAAGCCAGGACTTTAATTTATCGTGGTTTTTTTTATGTTACGGATTTT